ATAGTCAACTAAGTTCATATTTCAACTCGAAGAATATACTAATATCGCTTTAGTGGGACATAGTACGTAATATAATATATAATCCGCATATTCGTCAAAATGACTTCTTGATTGCTACTAAAACCTGAATTTAAATACGAGAATCAGCTGCTTAGTGAAGCTTCAGCGCTTTAATATCCTCCTTGGCTCAAGAAGCGCTTGCTTAATTTTCTTAATTTTCCTGCAGCCGGTGTTCTTGACCGAGCATACGATTGGAGCCGCTTCTCAAAACGCGGACACGCACAAAAGCTCTATTTCGCGGACAGATAAGTCGCGTGGTCGAGGCATGCGAGTTAGCTAAAAATTACTCTCGGTGGAACAATTTTGTAGCCATCGCCGCTTTCCTTAGATGATCAAAACTAATTAGAGTCTATTACCGTTTCTCCGGAGCCCATAGTTTCGGTTTTGAACGAAGTTTTCCGAAACGAAAGTTTGACATGAAAATAACAAAAAAACACCGGCAAAACAAAAACTATGCTCGGCAAGTTTATGCGCACCGGCTACACTTAACCGTCTCAGTTCAAATACCCATAAAATTGGGCATTAAACAAAAGAAAATTTGATAAATTGAATGCGCCACCCATTCAGGCGGCCCGGCCGAGCCGACGCGACCTGGACCCAGCCGCCATGTTTGTTTGGTGGTGGCGCCCCCTATAGGTCGCTGGAGTCGCGAATAGGGGGCGCTCCGATTGATCCAACATGGCGGACAAGAGGGGGATAGATTTGCGACGCCCATAGACCGGTAGCGTATAAATTAAACAAAGCGTGTCGTTCTCTGTTTGTTGCCGTGTGCGAGACGATCATCGTTTCAACCAAGACCTATCGCGATGCTACAGATGAAGTGTTCAAGCCAGTCGAAGGAAAGAAGTCTTGCCATAGTCGAGATATGTGTGCAAGTGTTCGACGTGAGCTCTCAAGCTGGTGCAGCTGTCATCAAGTTGAACCGAATATACGCGGGTCCAAAGAAAGGCACATATCAAAAATGTACGCGCGTTGAAACTATGACGCATACTTTATCTAAAACTAAACTTATCGGTCTGCGGCACCAAACATTTTCGTTGACGTTGCTTAGATGATGTAACCATTCAGGCCTCGCATTAAACGGTGTTGCGAACTCTTCGGTTGTTCTATAGTAATTGTGCTAAAAAGCGGTTGGATGGAAAGTATGACAGCTACAGCATACAAGGGACGATTGAGGTCTTTATCCTGCGTTCTATGTATCGAAACATCGGTATCCTTGGTGTTATATTGCGATCAGCTGGTCGCCGATCGTCCTGTTTTTACGCATAATGTAAACAAGCACCGGAAGCGCCAATCTTATTTCGATGTGCTTGTGCACCCCTACAAGCCTCGTTTTGGCTCTTGTGGAAAGCTTTATTGTAATAGCAATAGTCTCATCGGTCATTCGAGTTGAATGTGCCACGGTGCTATCTGCTGTGTGTGATCTGCTGACAAACAAGTCTGTATTAAATGAGAGAAGGAGAACGAAGGTAAAGTTTTTTTAACTGTTTTCTTTTTACAGAGCAGGGCAAAGCTTCTAAAACAAGAGCAACCTAAGCTGATATTTGAGTGTGCTCAAGAATGAATGGCAAAAGGTGCTTATGCTAAGTGGTAGATGTAGGCAGTTGATTTTCTTTTTGCCTCTGCATTGTAAATTGGAAGATATGTATTAGCAGAAGACACGTGTTCTTTTGAAAATGTCTTTTATTAGGGCAAAAATAGGTTTTCATACACAACCGAAGAGTTCGCAACACCATTTAATGCGAGGCCTCAATGGTTACATCATCTAAGCAACGTCAACGAAAATGTTGGTAGCCGCAGACCGATAAATTTAGGTTTAGATAAAGTATGCGTCATAGTTTCAGCCCCAAACACGCAAACATTGTTGATATGTACCTTTCTTGATGACAACTGCACCAACGTGAGAGAGCCCACGTCGTCGAATACTTGCACACATATCTTGACTATGGTATGGCAAGGTTTCTTGCTTGAAGTGAAGATCATCTCGCTACGACTAGCTACGACCACCCACCGCAGTGATGCAGGCGTCGAAGGGGTGCAACGCAGTCAGTCGCCGTCACCCGATGCTGCTCGTTTGGCATTCACGGCTTTCCGCCCAGGTGCTTCGTTTGTACCTGGTGTCGAGTGTTATTTTCTGTGCTTGTGTGTGCTCAGTGGCTGGATATGGGCCTCAAGAGCAGTTCTTCAAGCTCAATAGCGTTCGCCGAAGAACTTCTGAAGAAAATGCCACCCAGGAAAAAAAGCACGAAGACACAACGCACCAGCTTGGCGGACTATGCACTGGGCGCGGAAATCGGGCCCTGCGGATTATACACCAAATGCAAACTATCTAAACAAAACGAAAACATTTTTAGGCTCAAATTGGCTTCTGCAGACTATACGACTGGACACTGGTGCCTGTTATTATGCATTGTATATTCACTGCTGTTTGTTGTGGCTTGAGACTGCCTTCCTCCAATGATGCAGAGGGGTCCACTGAACCTTGAAATAAACATATTTAAGCACATCTAAATGCAATGTCCCTTGAAACCAGATGGTCAGGGAAAAGGTGTGCCAATACCATATTTGCCAACAGCAGACCAATGATCACGATCAAAACTCATCGAGTCAATGGGCAGTTTTCCACCACAATATTTATTGCAGTGTAATCACCAATTTGGTCCATTAAAAACCTTGAGGCTGTAGCCTGTAGCACACCCATTCTGGATCTGCAAAGCTAATGCTGTAGACATGCGTCATCACATGGGCATGTTTCTTATCAATCTTAAACGCAAAATGCTAGTTATGCAACGAAATTCCCATATCATCACATTTTTAGCAAACTGAATGGTCCCACTTGTCACACTGTTAGCTTTGGAAGTAAACCAATTCACAATACCACCAGTGGCATACATCAGGCCAAGCATTAGTGCCGCATGTGGCAGCAAAATGTCTTAACTAAGGAAGCAAACTTAATCGATTGTGTTGATTAAAGCACTTAGGTACGGGAGAAATTATCAATCAAAGAAGGTCACTCGAAAGGGAAGTTTTCTCGCTGAACGAATATGACTTTTTATTGGGCGTTCCGCAATGTAAGGCCGAAGACATTCAATCCGTGATCGGTAAAGAAGCATTTGCTTAGTAGTCGGTCGTGCGTGCTAAAAACAACAACAAAAACAAAGGTGGATTAGAAACGCGATAGATTCGCCTTTGCACGGAGTATTTACACTCAAAATCGTGTCAATGTAAAGCGACTATGGCCTACCTTGCTAGCAGCAATCTTAAAATTTAGGCAGTGTCTATTCTGCCGGCAGCCGGCAGAATAATTTTTCCGAAATTCTACCGGCAGTCACCTCCCATTGGCTGCCTGAAGTCACGTGACACCTACCGGTAAAATAATGAAATTTGTATTTTAGGTGAGACTATTGTGCCGGCAGCCGGCACAATAGCCCGGGGAAAAAAATGCCGGCGGTTTCGGACGGCGCGTGTATCAGTGGGGAGCTCGTTAACATAGCCCCCCCCCCTCCCCCTCCTTTAGCGGCGACAGTCTGCGGTTGCTCATTAGAAATATATTGACCTATTTGGCCCACCAGTACCACCGCATTACGGCGGCGTGCCGGCCGGCCCAAGCACCGCTGTCCACCATTCACCCCCAAAAAGGAAGTGTTTCGTCAACAACATTCGTGTTTTTTTTGTTTTATTTTGTGTTCTTTTTTTAGTGTTAATTCTAAAAGAAAGATGTCGTAAATATCGCCTAATACCTCAACAAAAAACAAAATTCCGAAGAAAAAAAAAAAAATCCCTCGGGGGATTGAACTAAGATCCTGAGGCGCACATCTTACCCACTGAGCTCACACAGCTAGAATGGGCGTGTTTACAATCCGTTTTATACGAGACCCAATAGGCGACTACTGCCGGCACTTTTTCCCCCCGGTTATTGTGCCGGCTGCCGGCAGAATAGACACTTCCTAAAATTTATCCGTGTAGCCGTCGCACCCGTGCACCAACCGAAAGCGTTGCTGCAAGCCCCCCTCCGCCGTCAACTTTGAGTCACTGTTGAGTCTGAAGAACTGCACCATGAGGTCCATATCCAGCCACTGAGCACATACACAAGCACAGGAAATAATACTCGGTTCCAAGTACAAACAAAGAACCCGGGGCGGAAAGCCCTGAATGCCAAACGACCTGCGTCGGGCGACGGCGACTGCGTAGTACACAGGTTGCGCTCCTTCGACGCCTGCATCGCTGCGTCGGGTGGTCGTAGCCAGTTGTAGCAGATCGTGTCACCTCTGTTGCTCGTACCGGAACACTAGAGCCGCGTAATATTCTTGCTGCCGAAGTTTAAAACCCTACGTTCGCGGCCAACGCATTTACACAAATCTAACGCCCAGCGAACCTATCCCCCTCTTTCTCTTTCGGCGACCGGCCGCCAGGGCGGTGACACCGTCGCTGAAACTCCTCAATGGACCTTTTCCGAGAAGCGTTCTGCGCACGCGCGAGTGCCCGATGCCAAGCGGCGGAAGTCGGAACGAAAAATCGAGGAAATTCGGAAGGAGGCTGTATATCAGCGAGTAGAACACATAACTGCGGCATATATATAATTGTGTTACACAAAAAAAAGAACGCCGACGGAAAGGAAAACACGACGTTTGGGTGGACGCCACGGATGCCCCTCTTTCAAGTCGCATTGGGCAGGCGCCGCTGCTCAGAGAGCGAAGAAACTGGTAGCGTAGCTCCCATTATCGATTGGTAGCGCAGGTAGGTCACTTCCTCGATTTTTAGTTCGTGCAGCCACCGCTTGGTGCCGTCGGTATGTGGAAAAGGTCCATTGCAAGTACGACCGCCACCTTCCGCACTTTCAACAGGAACCTATAGTCTCGGTGAAATCCGCTAAATGCTCACAGATGAGACTTCAGAGGTTCACACTATACTATACACTAACGAATGCCACATTTACTGACCTGAAGCACTTCAACGATGCCTCGAACTTTGTCTTCGTCGTAGTGTGCAACTGGCAGGGGCCGCGTAATGTCATCCAGTGGGACATCGTGCACTTTGGAGATGTTCGCTGTGTGCACGCTCATAGAATTCGAGCTACCTGTTCCGCTATTAACTATCACGACATTTTGCATATTCCCCGGTCCGGCTGCTGTGACGAAAGAGTTGAAGTCTAGATATAAAACTGTTTTTCCGTGCGCATCCACTCCCTCCGTCATCCCTTCGTGTTCCGCCATTTTAGACAATGCGCGCATGTGCGCCTGTTGCCAACAGCGCGGCTGCCCAGTAAAATGCCCCCACCAAAGTTGGAGAAACCAAGGTCTCGCGTAGTTTCGTTTTCGATATCCACCCTAGTAGCGCACGAAATTTCCGTCAGTTTTGACAACCTCTTGATGCTTTACTTCGCGCATTTATTTTAGTTTTGGCATATCTTTGATTTTTTTTATTTATAGGCGGTAAATTTCTAAAGGATGGAAAACATTTTGAGTATGCGTGAGTGCGGGTGTGCATGCATTTGGGTGTCGTGTGTGGAGCGGAAAAGGAAGAGAGAAGGATAGTGTGTGTGTGTGTGGGGGGGGGGTGCATGTGTGTGTGTGTCGCATATTTTTTTTATGGGGGGGGGGGGGGTCGAAATTGGGAGTATGAAAACAAATTTGCTGATGAGTAGAAAATAAATATATCGGCGTCGTGTATGTCGCGTGCATCGATAGCATAAGAAGCTGTACGCTGTACTACGTGAGTTTGCGAGGTGTTTAGTCCAAGGAAAGTTTCAGACTGTGATGTCGTACGTAGTCTTTCGGTGAAAATATTTGAGCATTCTTTAATCGCGCTTTTGGATATTCAGTAGAGGCAGCTCATCAGGGGCTCCGGAAGTATATCTGATGTGTGGGGTCGACGTCTGGGGGCTGATGTCGCATCGTGTAGTTCACCTCCCTCTCTCTCTCTCTCTCTTTATATACTATACTTTGTTTCATACTTAGCGTACAACGCTGTCAAAGCCACTGGCGCGAGCGCGGTGCTTGATCTAGTTGATCATTTGCACGCGTTCTCGCGCAAACAAAACCATAAAAGAAGCCACGCGCTCGCGCCAGTAGCTTTGACAGCGTTGCACGCTAAGTGTGAAACAGACTATATATACAGGGTATTCCACGAAAAGTGGACACATTCGATTTTGCGAAAGCTACTCGTCACAACGAAAAAAAGCTCCTGTCGTTTTAGTCCTGAGCCAGGGGCCTATTTAGGAACATTATTCAAATTTGGGATAATTAGATTGTTAATTATATTTGCGTAATTAACTTTTTTAAATATTGTTTTCAATTGCATAGTTTCAATTGGAAAATTGCTCATCATCATCGAAAAACACTAAATCGACAAATTGGAGAACGATATAAGGCACGCGGAGCATTTTACGGCTTTCGGAAAAACCGCACAATTTCGACGGGTTTCTGAGTTTCGGTTTGCAATCGGAGCGCTTCTTGGCCCCGACGGCACCGCGCCCCGTGGAGAAATAGTGCAACCAACCCCTGCTGCGCTGTCCTCGAATTTGTGCGGTTTTTCAGAAAGCCTTAAAATGCTGCGTGTGCCTTCTATCGTTCTGCAATTTGTTGATTTAGTGTTTTTCGATGATGTTGAGCAATTTTCTAATTGAAACCCATGCCCTGCAACACAATATCAAAAAAGTTAATTGCGTAAAAATAGCTAACAACTTCATTATTCCAAACTTTATTAATTTTCCTAAACGGGCCCCCGGCCCAGGACCAAAACGACACAAGCCTTTTTTGTTGCGACGCGTAGTTTTCGCAATATCGAATTTGTCCACTTTCCGTGAAGCACCCTATCTATCTATCTATCTATCTATCTATCTATCTCTATATCTATATATATATGATGATGATTGAAGCTTGTTTTTTGTGTATATAACGCGGTATAGACTGGTGTTGGCACCTTCCGCACATGGTTTGTCTTTCGCGTCGGATTAGCCTGTGGGGCCTCGTCGCCTATGGAGTGCAGCTTCAACATGCAACAGCCTCACGGGTGGTGGGAGGGGAGAAGGAGGAGGCGGAAGTAGCTGCATGGTACTCGTGTGCATAGGCACCGACGGGTTGGGGGGGGGGGGGGGAACTCGAGGCTTAAGGGCCCCCCTCTCCCCCCCCCCCCTCCCCCCCCCCCCCTCAACGGTTTTTCGGGGACCTCTGGGTGCACGTGGGGAGGGGGGTGGGGAATAATAAAACGGTTGTGTCCCCCCCTCCCCTCCCTCCCCGGGATATTGAACTGCTTACGCCTATGATCGTGTGAATAGCGATGGCACGCAACTTCCTATCCAAGCATTGCGGGAAGCGAGAGTCGTTCTTCCAGGAGATTGACGAGCATGCGCCGTTGCGCGTCTTCCCTTGGTGGCACAACGGCGCAAAAATTGCAAAAATTACAAAAATTGCAATTTCAAATTGCAATTACTACAAAAATTGCTCGCCAAAAGTTGAAAAATAAAGTATTGTAATTATTTTCAAATCTCGCTTCGTCACTGCAAAAAGATTGCCGTGGATTTTTTTTTTTTAAGCGAAGGCGGTGACACAGGCAAATGAAATACCTAAAACTTACAACGGTCGAAAATAAACATACGCTTTGAAATTTATGTAGGAGTATGTTTGTAAAAGTAAGCATCGACGGGAAATAAGCAAAAGAAAAAAGATTTGCTTTTTTTTTTTTTTTTTTTTGATGCGTTCAGGTCCGTTGCAGTCGATTTTTATGTTTTCAACTTAGACACTTTTAACAAAAGATTTGCCATTTAAAGGAAAAAGATTACTTTGATTGGAAACTATTTGAGCTTTAATTGCCGCAACAAAATTTGCTGGTGTAATTTGTAGTTATATCAGCTTGAACTTTAGAAATATCTAGAACACAAAGACAGAAAGGACAGGATATGACACACAGCTGACTACCAACGATTTTTTAGTTTAAACTTCTTCTTTGCGCTTTTGCTCCTTCTTTTTGAGTCCCAAGTGGAGCACAATAACAAGTCAGGAAAACGAAGACGCAGACAAAACTCGAAGGAAGATCGTGGTGCTACCGTACATCCATGGGATCACCCACAAATTGAAAAAGATTGCAGCAAGAAATGACGTACAAGTAGTATGCTCCGCGCCCAACAAAGCATACTATATGTGCAGAGAAGTGAACCGAAAAAGAAAGAAAAAATTCTGCAACACGGCCCACAGAACGCAATATCTCCCATGCTCAACAGGAGTGGTTTACCACATTCCCCTGTCTTGCGGGAAATGCTACATCGGCCAAACAGGCCGATGTATCAACGACAGAGCCCGTGAGCATGCAGCGTCTCTAAAGGGAACAGCGGCAGGACATCTGGCAGCTCATTGGAGGACATGCCAGTGCAGTGTAGCTTTGAACAGCACCACCATTCTTGGAAGAAACAACAATCCTCATGCACGCGAAATGCTCGAGGCGCTCGCCATCGAGGAGCACGCGGAGGAGTGTGTCAGCACGCCATCAATCACCGTCCACAAAAAAGAAAGACAGTACCTAAAGAATGTCACGCCCCAAACAACAACAGCACGAGCTTGTGGCGGGTTAGTTCAAAAACAATAATTTGCGGGGAATACTGTGCAAATGAATTGTACATATTTTTTGTATAAGTGTAAATATCGGGAGTGATCTTTATTAGTGGAATAGGGTAATTAGTATAATAGGTTATTGTGCTCCACTTGGGACTCAAAAAGAAGGAGCAAAAGCGCAAAGAAGAAGTTTAAACCAAAAAAATCGTTGGTAGTCAGCTGTGTGTCATATCCTGTCCTTTCTGTCTTTGTGTTCTAGATATTTCTAAAGTTCAAGCTGATATAACTACAAGTATGTACCAACAAGCTCAACTCTTAACCGTTACTCAGTGTAATTTGCTTTAGAACAGCACAGGCTACTTACTAACTGTGTTAGTAAAGCCACATTTCGCGGTGTGAGTGTTGACAGATTTCTACCCCCCCCCCCTCCCCCCCCCCCCCCCCCCCCCCCGGTCTCAGCGTGTCCCGCATTTCGCAAGCAGGAGTCCTCCTGGTGACGCAACATGGCAGTGTGTATAAAAAGCAACGCGCTCCGCCGTTCGCGTTTGATCAGTTCCTGATACAACTGCGCCGACGATGGCCATCTTGGAACGTAAAAACACCTAAGACGTCTAACGATATTGAATTTCTTTGTCTGGGAGTGACCAGGTCGGCCTAGCTGAAAAATGCAGACGACCCGTTTGTTGTGACGAAAAATGATACTCCGTGTCACTAGTTGCGTGCAGTAGAGGCGAAGGCAACGCGAGGCGATGGGAGAGAGGGCAAGCACCAGGCAGCTAGTGCTCTCCCTTTCTCTCCTCGCCCTCTATCGCCCTCCTCTCCCGTCCCGTCCTCCTAGTGCTCGCCTACACAGCACACAACTAGTGACACGGAGGATAATGCCACAAGCCCTTGCAGTGGTTTCAGTGGTTTTCTTGAAATTGACCAGGTGATCGACGCACAAATAGGCTATTATAAATATTACAGGGTATTAATTTGGTCGTCTTGATGTGTCGTAGACGTACCGAGAAGGCCATCAGCGTGCCGAGCAAGCAGCCAAGTTCATACACTAAAGGTCAAACGAAACATTGATCAAGCACGCATTCACAATACATAACAAAAGCGACAGTGACTCCATGTCCGTGGCCTGGTGTTATCCCATCTTTTTGAGTCTGGGCCGAGGACAGGTGGTCATTTGAGGTCCGGCGTGGACGCTCCCAGGTAGGACTGGAGGTCCTTGACGGTCGAGTGGAACAACTTGGCCCTAGCCGTGGCCAGTCCCAGACGCTTGTAGGCCTCGTAGCGGTGGCAGCCTCCAAAGGAGTAGTAGTAGTCGCCTCCCTCACGTCCCTTCACCCACAGCACGTCGATGGGGGGCACGGCGTCTCGCTTGGCGGGGTCCTGCACCCAGGGATGGGGAACAAGAAACAACGTCACACCAATGGCGGCCCAATCAAATTAAATTTGGGAGGTTTTACGTGCCTAACCAACGAAAAACGCCTGGCACGCCCCAGCTATGGACGAAGGGTACATTTCGACCACCTGTGGATCTTTCGACGTGTTACTCAAACGGTGCTCGTCTCCTCGATGAGCCTCCGTAAAATTTGGGGCACATCGATCGCGATTCGAACCCGCCACCTGGGGATCCGTATAAGCGAACGCTCTGCCTCGGAGCCACAGAGGCAGAGCGTTCGCACCTAATATTTCATGACACATGTTTTATGACCTACAACATTTCCAACTTCCAATTTCTGTGTTTTTTTTTTCGTTTTTTTTTTTTTCCGATTTATTGGTTTTATTTTAATTAATATAATAAAATTAAAATACCACCCGTTACGACAACAACAAAGTAATCTAGCTTGCATTCTACAACAGCCACACACATGCTCAAGGGCTAAACGTAATTTCTGAGTAAGTCGTCTGTTAGCTGCACAATATGAACTCTGAGGTACCCTAAAGCTAACTAGATTTCAAAAGTAATTAGAGACGTAAGTAAATCATTCTGATGTGATGTACCTAACTTTTCGCTTAAATTACATTTCGTGAGAGTAGTTATACCATCTCTGGTAAGGCTCGAAAGAAACCCTACTCTGACAAGTCTTGTGGCAAAAGAGGTGAGAGGAAAGTGGTTGTATGCATTTAATTCAAATGTAAATTAAGGATGCTTTTGCATGATAGGAGTACACAGAGACGTGCGTATATGTTCACGTCTCGGTGTGTTCATATGCATGTGAAGAAGAAAAAAAGTTCGAAACTGTTGGTGGGGTTTGAACCTTTTCCGCTCGTTTTAAAAGTCTGCAGCTGTGCCTCGTGCGGCACATATTTGTAAAAAAAAATAATAAAAAAAAAAGACTGCATTGTTATTCGTTGATATCCTGCATTTCGCACGTCTTTTTATACGCCTGGAATAACTCACTTCAACGCCCTTAACATGCAACTCTGAGGTGCTTTAGCTTGTAGCAATTTTCCGCGTGGGCTGAGGTGCCGATTAGGGTAACTTTATTTTATTGTAACAAAACTTTTTTTTTTTTGTCTAAGGGTCTTAGACTAAAAAAAAAATTTTTGTCTCAATAAAATTAAAGTCACCTCAGCCCACGCGGATAAACTGCTATAAGCTAAAACACCTCAGAGTTGCATGTTTCAACTCAGGTGCACAACCACTTGTTGCAGTTTTTGAATTTTACTATAGAGATGTTCTAACCGAGCACTGCAACACGGAATGTTTCTGTTGAAACAGCAATTAAAGTACTTACTCGTCAAGCAGCCAGCCTTTTTTCTTCTTTTCCTATTTTTGCTCTACGGCTTACTAATATGTCAGGCAGATGGATGCGTGCCGGAAGTTATTGCCTTTTGGTTACCAACCAAGTTGTGTACATGTCCTGTGTCGGCAGTTGTTCAAACAAAATAGTGTCCATGTCCTATTTTGACGCGGGCATTCTTCTTATCTCTTCGTGTTCTTTTTTAGAAAACTGCATATGCATGATTGCAGCAGCGCACTACATAAGTTGTGCTAGTTGGTACATAACTGCAAAAAACCAAGCATAGCTAAAATAGACGAAGCACGCAAGGAATCGATGCACAGCGTCTTATGTTTGTACATTTGTTCCTTGTGTGATTCGTCTATTTTAGCGCTGCTTTACATTTTTACTGCCTTAATAATTGGCTCATCACTCCAATTCTTTCCTTGGCCTTCACTTAGTTCAGTTCGGATTGGAATGTCAAGAAAATTAATTACTCTACGGGGTCCATTTTTCGCCTTTAAGCCAGTGTAATATCAAGACGAAATTACTCATAACGAGTGCACATACATGTTTTGCTCTTTTATGGATCTCCTTGGTGCACGTTACAAAACTTGCACGAATATCACTTCAGAGTATAAAGGTTTCACATCTTCGTGTTCGAAAATGCGTTCTTTAAGCGTCGATTTACTATAAGTTGCCAAGTAATATGAATTGCCGGAGTACATCTAATAAGATTTAGAGTACTGTAAACAACTTAATTCTCGCGAAAACCTAATTTTCGCGAATTTCCGGTAAAACGTAAGCACATTGGAATCTAAATTGAGATCCCACCGCGTCACGAAAATTAGAACCCGCGAATTATTCCCAAACTTTAGCTTGGATATAAATCGCGAAATATTGATGCCGCGAAAAATAAGTCGTTTACAGTATACACTACAGTTTACAGTACAGTACAGCAGGCACGTAGCCCGAGGGGGGGGGGGGGGCCGCTCCCCCCCCCCCCCCCCCCGAAATTTTCCACTTTGCTGCAGCCTCCTCTCCCACCTCCCCCTCACACAGCATTTTGTCATGGGCGGCGGCGGCGCCCCCCCCCCCCCCCCCCCCCCCCCCACCCCGAAACAAAATCAAAAAGAAAAAGCCCTTAGAAGGAGCATTTCTATCCTTGCACTCTTGATCCTGGATTTAGCTCATTCTACACGCGAAAAAGTATGGAAGCCTCGCTCTGTATAAGGCGGGGCACAAACATAGCCCGCTGGTCGATGGCTAAACGAAATGATAGAGTAATGATCCATTAAAAAACCGTACCAAGAAGTCGGCAACCGACTTCTATTCTCTGATTCACGGCTCATTTAACCCGAAAAACGGACTCTAAGTAAACAGAGGTCCATTGTTTTCCCTGCCCCGAGTTTACTTTCGTTTTTCAAGCTGTCCTACTTAGGAAATCGTTGGAAAAAACATGCTGATCTGTAGACCAACGGTATAGTGCCGTATACACGAAGAAAAATCCAGCTCTTTGCCTGGTAGTGCCAGAAAATGCATTGATATTGTTTCATTGCCACTTTTAAACATCGGAGAAAGCAAAAGTGCTCAGACTTTAAAGCGTTACATTTAGGTGGTTGGCTGTTTCTTAATAATCTCAATGAAATGTTATATCGTATACGAGGACATTTGACGTCTCGTTTTTATTTATGGGTAGTACTCGGAGCAACAAACTCGGACATCGACGAGTGTTCTGGCGCGCAGACTTTCCCCAAATTAGTAAAACGTTAATACCTTTCTAACTTAAATACGTGCTTGGTTTCTAAATAAATTTGAAGAAAAAAATCACTACGTGCTGGCGTGCGAAGGCTACAACAACGCATTTTTCAAGTTCATTGGCAGCTCAGGTTATGGCGGCGTGTGCGAAGCGGTGTGGAGTGAAAAACAACAAGATCCCCCTTACATCCTGCTCCGAAGGAAAATAACCACGCTTCTAGCTTCCTCAAGGGCCGTCTGCATTCTAGCTTTGAACGCAAAAAACGCCTTATGGCGGTGACCAAGTGTCGTCGTCATCTGTCTAAAGCCAATGTAAACAGTCCAATCGGAATCATATAAAGTGTATATTCGCATATATGATAACAAGCATCACTGAGATACAGTGCAGCGGACCTCCCTGCCCCTGGCACGGTTCAAAGTTCCGCCGTCAAAACAAGGCACTTGAACAGTCCGCATTATCGGAGCTTCTGACAAATACGAGATATCGCGCTCCTCGTGGCTTTTATTTGTGTTGCCGTTTGCGACGTACACTTTCAGTGGCGCGCTATTCTCACTGACAGCATAAGAGGGCGTGGCTTATCACGCTCCTTGCTCCGTGATTGGCTATTCGGCGATCTTAATGCTGGAATGCCATTGGTTGCGGAGAGATAATGAGATGCTATAAAGTCACGCCCTGTGGTTCTTTCAGTGACCAAGCATGCATAATCATGCTACGCCTCCTTGGGGATCTCAATTTGGAAATCATGAGCACATTCCATTATATTCTATGCCGCCAGTAAGTACGATCCATAGCATCGTCAAGATAAAAAAAGAACTAGAACAGCTCTTTTCTTAAAGTAAAAATGGCCTTTCATTTACTTAATATGCAAGATGTTTCACGTGACCGCAGTCTCTGGAGCTGAGAAATAGGTTGAGTCATAGTGCCAAAAATCAATGATGCAGCCGGGATTCCTTTTTTTTTTTCTTAGGTGGGGGGGAGGGGGGTCGATGCGCATTTATAAAGATCGGCTGGATATCGGGGGGAGGGGGGGGGGGGTCAGCGGGGAGCTAAATTTCTAAATTTCTATAAGCCATTACCCCCTGGCTGCGTCAATGCTGCGGGCGCACGGGTCCCGCAGTTCACTAGAGGACAGTGCCACCATACAGAAGGCATTTATTAGAATGCATATGGTCTAAGTATCAACAACTCAATTAATTTAAAAAGTTCCCAATCTGCAATGAGCGTTACAACAATCAGTGATTGAATTATATAAGGGACGCGTCTATTAATATCAAACATTTTGCAGCTTACACGCACTCCAGTTGACAAGCAAGGAAGGCATTTTAGAATTCTAATTATTAAATGTCTGCTTCCCTGTGTGCACAAACATCTTTTTTATGTTACCTACTAATTAAAGGGTGTGTTTTTATTGGTTAAGAAGGAGTTTATATTGACTTAGGTCAAGAGGTCCTTATTATTAAGGAGGAGAAAATCTTAGGGGCTCATCAAGTTTCATGCAAAGCCACTGAAGAACACTGCAAGTAGCACCTCAAGGTCTCCGCACGCTCAAGCTGCGACAATTTTACGTCTCGACACATTTCTTTTTTTTCAAAAAACCCCACGATGATACTGTCTGTATACCTTGAGTGCCTCGACCAAACTTGCCACCTTCTCTTCGTCCAAGACAGGAGTCAGAGGCCTGATGAGGACTTCCACGGGGATGTCGTGCACCTCTTGAATGTGCGCAGAGTGAACGCTGAAGTCGTCCGGCCTTCCGTTCGACATGTCGCCGGTCTTCGGATCTTTGCTCTCCGTCCAAGTATCACACCCTGGCGTGTCGGACGTCCGCCGGGAACTGGCGCTGACGCACCGACTCTGCGCTCCGAGGACAAGTACTCGCAGCAGGGCGCCCCACGTCACTGAACCCTGCGGCCTTGCGACAGCGGCTGCACGGCCACTCGGCGGCCACAACAACATAGGGGGGACTGGTTCTCTGGGTTTCGCTGGCTTCTGTCTTCTTTTGTTTTCTTTTACCCTATCTGGGACGGCGAATACCTACCTGCTGGGAATATCCCGCCCCGAGAAACCGGAAGGCGAACCGAAACGTGTTGCAATGTTTACGCGATGGCAGCGCCAGAAGCGTCAGCGAGCGGTGACGAGCAAAGCTTTAGTTTAAAAAGCTGTGGATAGGTGTCGCCACACTTCTTCTTGCAGTAGACCAGCGGCGTTTTGACGCGGGTGTTTTGAGTTCACGGTATTTCACGTTCGTTCCTTCGACGTCTCACATTTTTTTAAATAATATATTTTTACTTGCTAACTCCCCTAAACGTGTTTTTTTTCGATAGCATTGCAAAAGTCACTTTGCGCTAAAACAAGCCAGAAGTTGCAATACTTCAGGAAAATACAGCAGCCATTTGAAAGTAGGGAGGGAGCCGGCGAAATGAAACGCTGTAGTGTTGTCCGAATGACAGTAGAATAATAATAATAATAATTCGCATTGATAGGATAGGGTATCCCAGGCATGCTGGGGGTGCAAAAAGGCATAGCTGCCCATGCCGGGGAGGCTTGCAACCCTACCTGGGGACCCAGGAACTGCGCACACATGCGCAAGGTTATAGAGTTCAAGTTGAAGGCTAGTGCAGGCGCTGGGCAGCCTTCCACCAGGGACAAGATATTGTCGTCCTTGCTTCTTAGCCTTGCTTCTTAGCTTCACCCCCGTCACGCGAAGAATGCGTGGTAGCGCACGTTAGCTGCGCATCTTGGCTACGGAGTAGGACTGCTGGCGCGGAGATGTAAGGAGCTTCGACTGAAGAGAGGGTCCATCTCAAACCATCAGGACCGCTTTTGCAGTTAAATGGCGCACGCCTTCTGGAACATATGTCGCACTCGCAACAGCGCGCGCGCTGCGCTTTCGCGTAGCGAGGAGGAAAGCAGGAGGAAAGGCGGAACGGAAACGATGAACGCTGGTTCGACAGGTTGCGCCAATATGAGATTTGTGCAACTCTGAGACGGCCCGCGTCCGCAATCATTGGACCCGATGTGAAGCTCGAACGTCCGAGTGCCCTGCCGAACTCTGACGCAAAGGTCGCGTCCAATCGTTCGTTGGTTAGGCTTTCCTAATATTGCACATTTGGCCACCAGCCGCGCTGACCGGCAGCCAATGTACGTTTCGAAACGTACGTTTCGAAGCGCTGCGTCTAGATGGCGTTCCACAGCGCGTTCATCCCCATAGCGCCGTCTTTCCTGCACGGTATGTTGATCAGTGTTGCGGAGTTGCCACTCCGGAGTTGGAATGATTCCGGAATCATTCCTCATTTTCACGACCCCGGAATGGAATGGGAATGGAATGGCGGCGACGTTCAGGGGAATGGAATGGGAATGGAATTAGATGCCTTTTGCCCGGAATGGAATGGGAATGGAATGGGCCAGGTTAGTCAGGGAGTCGGTTGTTTAGAAATAAAATGAGCGGGAAACTGCGAACCCGCGTAAGGCCCTAACAGACTTATACGAAAAAAAAAAAAAATGCAATGCAAAAAACAAGCGTCAAGGCAAAGAACAGAGGGGGGAGGGGGCGCGGCGGTGGCGCCTTTCACTAGTTTAAGTTCAACACATATCCGAATGCCTCTGTTTGAATGATGCTAGGCGAAACTTGAAGACTGCCATTCATGTGCTGGAGGAGGAGAGTCGGCAGGAAGGACCGTCACAACAGGGATGTCACAGTATCGATTTTTCAACCGTAACAGAAGATAAGGATGCATCAGGATGCTTCAGGTGGTCCACTTTTCTCGGAAATTCCAAATGCAACTGCCTCCACCGTCTTCAACGAGGTAACCTACAACGAAAGTACGTATTGTCCTTTCATACAGCAGCGGTGGGTAAAGTTTCATGTTCAAGGCAACACCTACAGATTCAAGAATACTAGTTCATCCCACCGTGACGTCATGTGATCAGTGCTGACAGGTGCGCCCTTATTGGACAGGGAAGTGTTGATGTTTTGATGGAATTTATTTAGAGGTCGAAATCTTTTCGCATCACTGGTCAGTCAGACAGGATGCCAGGGAAGGGACCGCGGTCAATCCTTGATGGAATGTTTTTTAAACCCATTGACTTGAGGACTCTTCGTCCGGAACCACTACCTTCAAGGCCTGCGGGAAAGTAATTTCGGGACCAAAAAAACAAACAAAAAAACTTCCACTTTAAACTTAAAACCTCATCTCAGTTGGCGTCTCAAAGAAATTTGAAAAATGTATTGCATTATCAGTATTTATATTTCTGCCCTCCCTAAAATGTATTCCTGTATTTGTATTTCCAAAAACTATTTGCCTCTTTTTAAAATGTATTTCCGATACGTATCGCGATACATTTTTACAGATATATTTGAGTCTTGAGTGTCAGTATCTTAGCAACTATTTTCATCCATACCAGTATTTGTATTTCCAAACACATTTTTGAATATTTCTGCCCAAACCTGCAACGTAATGCAGCTGTCAAGTGACACTTTTACCGTTTAGGAATTAGAGGAATGGAATGGAACGATTCAGCCATTTCCAGGAGTGGGAATGGACCCAGTGTCCCCATTCCCAGGAGTTGAAAGGAATGGAATTATCGAAAACTCTAATTCCCCGGAATGGAATTGGAATGGAATGGGGGTGCCCATTCCGCAACACTGATGTTGATCCTGCTCCTCACGTGAATGAATTCGGAGGCGCGCTCAAAAGCAGGGGGAACGTACTGTCGGGGGCGCGTGCAACGTCTACTTTCCTGCACGGCATTTGATCCGGATTCTCACGTGATCGGATCTCGGCAAATAGCGGCGCGGCGGCACGTGGAAACAGACGCGCAAACTTTGGCTCCCGCCTCCCTTACCCCCCGTTCACACTGGAAGCGGATCCGCGTTCGCGAAGCGGTTGCGAAAGCGGTTGTATAAAGATCCAGTGCAATTGCACGCGCATTTGATGTCATCGTGTGCGCGTGCAATTGTACTGAATCCTTATACAACCGCGTTCGCAACCGCTTTGCGAACGCGGATCCGCTTCCAGTGTGAATGAGCCCTTACCGCTCATTCACACTGGAAGCGGATCCGCGTTGGCAAAGCGGTTGCGAACGCGGTTGTTATAAAAATCCAGTGCAATTGCACGCGCACTCGATGACATCAAGTGCGCGTGCAATTGTACAACCGCGTTCGCAACCGCTTTGCGAACGCGGATCCGCTTCCAGGTGTGAATGAGCGGGTAGGGAAGGGAGCCTATTAGCCCCGAGAGCGAACACAAGCGTCGCTGCCGTCGCCACGCCCTGATTGGGTGAGGCGTACCATGACGTCAGGGGGAGGACTCCGCTCCGCGATCTCGCATCGGCTCGGTTCCCAGCACCGGTTTCCTGGTTTGGTGTTGTGTGCCGCAAGCTCTTCGAGGACCTGGACTTCGTTTACCCGGTGTACAGGACGTTGAGCTAGGCCGACATTGACGTGCTTCCGTACATTTTATAAGCCTGCTCATCCCTTTTACCTTTAAAATTGGGTTACAAATCCCGAAAGCTATCGGCGGAGGCAATTCCGCCGATGAAACCTCCCCGTCCGTCCACACGACACAAGGCAATTTTGCGAGGGATCGGTGAAGCGGTGGCGCAAGTGTTTCAGACGCTGGAATTCTGTTCCTTGCATGTTCATGATTTAGAGCGATATTACACCCCGCTTTCAAGGTATTTGAAGGGGCATTTATGTCATGGGCCTTTGGGCGGTCGGCAAATTAGCTCGCGACCCCCGACTTTGCGCTGCCACTGTGCATGCGCTCGTTCGCAGATGTTTTAAATGCCTGATTATCTTTGATAATCTGTCTGATTATCTTTGAAGTGCTCGCGGAACAGGGTTGTTTTACATAAATGTAGCTTCTTTCGTGAATTAATTATATAGTTTATACACGTATGCAGGCATATTTATTACAAGGTGCACAATTACTGAAAATTAGTTTGTAAGGTAGCAGCAAAAACGGCCGAATTGCCCTTGCCTGTATGATATGTATTGAACTGCCCAAAATATGCACAGCAATAGTGCCGCAATTTGGAATGTTTGTACTTTTTCCTGACATTCTTTATTCCAGCCTTAGGTAATAAAAAAATACACCATTTAGTCTGAATTGTCATTTCCAACTAAAAGAGACACTGCTGCAGGTCTCCAAAAGCTTCCTCAGCCTCCAAACTCCCTACAGCTGGACTCTGACAACAGAGGAAAACAGGAGTAAAAGCAAGCATTCGATTGTCTGTCCAGTGGTAGACGCAGCACTAGTAGCAGAAAATATGGAACCTGTGAAAGGCGACAGCCTGCGTGAGAAAAGTTTCTGGTATTTTAGCTTTAGGACAATTCGATTTAAGTAAAATCTCAATTTTAGGGCTTAAGGGACTAATAACG